GACCGATCATCTGCTGTTTGCCTGATATGCCAAGAAACTGTGGCGGTTTTTAAAGAGTATAATATTAGCCGTCACTTTGCCACAAAGCACGCAAATTATGCTAGCAAGCTCTCAACAAAAGAACGGGAATCTGCTGCTGAGAAGTTGGCAGCTAATTTGAAGGCTCAGCAAAGTTTTTTTCACCGTCAAACTGCCATTCAAGAGTCAAGTACCAAGGCCAGTTTTATGCTTTCATTCAAAATAGCAAAGGCCAGCAAACCACTGTCAGAGGGCGAGTTTTTAAAAGAATGTATGGTAGAGACAGCAGGTATTTTGTGCCCGGAGACCAAAGACAAATTTGAGAAAATCAGTTTATCACGGCGGACAGTGACTCGCCGTGTAGAACTAATAGATGAAGATATCACCAGCATATTAAACAAAAAGGCGAAGTCATTCACTTTTTATTCTTTAGCACTGGATGAAAGCAACGATGTCAAAGACACTGCTCAGCTCCTCATTTTTATCCGAGGAATCAACGAAACCTTTGAAATAACGGAGGAGTTTTTGACAATGGAGTCTCTGAAAGGACAAACACGGGGAGAGGACTTGTTTGAACGAGTGTCTGCTGCCATCGAAAACATGAAGCTTCCCTGGAGTAAGCTTGTTAACGTCACCACAGATGGATCTCCAAATTTAACGGGAAAAAACGTTGGCCTGCTGAGGAGAATCCAGAATAAAGTGAAAGATGAAAACCCTGACCAGGATGTGATTTTCCTCCACTGCATCCTCCACCAGGAATCTCTATGTAAATCGGTGTTACAGCTGAATCATGTTGTGAATCCTGTGGTGAAACTTGTCAACTTCATACGCGCACGGGGACTTCAGCACCGTCAGTTCATTGCGTTCCTGGAGGAAACTGATGCGGATCACCAGGACCTGCTTTATCACTCCCGTGTCCGCTGGTTGAGTTTGGGCAAAGTGTTTCAACGAGTGTGGGAGCTCAAAGAGGAGATTGGCGTGTTTTTGGAGCGGCAGGGGAAGACTGATGAATTTCCTGAGCTGAGCAACAAGAGCTGGATGTGTGACTTCGCGTTTGCTACGGACGTATTTTCACACTTGAATGAGCTCAATGTGAAACTGCAGGGGAAGGAGCAGTTTGTGCATGACATGCACACAAACGTGAAAGCCTTCAAATCCAAGCTGGCTTTATTCTCCAGGCAGATTTTGAACAAGTCATTCACTCATTTTCCTACACTAGCCACGCTGAAAGAGGCCGGAGCAAAAGTAAAGAAATACAGTGAGTCACTGGATGCACTGCACGGAGAATTCTGCCGTCGGTTTTTGGATTTCGATAAAATTGACAAGTCACTTCAATTGGTGGCCTTTCCTCTGTCACAAGACCCCGAAACAGCTCCAGAGGAGCTTCAGCTCGAACTCATCGACCTTCAGTCTGACCCTGCCTTAAAAGAGAAGTTCAGCTCTCTGAAACTAAATGACTTCTATGCTTCACTCAATGATGCCGCGTTTCCAAATCTAAGGCGAAAAGCGCAGATGATGTTGGCTTTGTTCGGCTCTACCTTCGTGTGTGAACAGACATTCAGCGTCATGAACATCAACAAAGCCAGCCACAGATCCAAGTTAACAGACCTACACCTCAGATCAATCCTGAGAATCGCCACAACAAAACTAACTCCAGACTTTGATGCGCTGGCTAAAAAAGGAGACCAACAACACTGCTCCCATTAAAATGTGTGTCTCTCCGTGATACGCACGTTGTTAAAATGAACAGTGCGCGCAGATCAAATATAACGCTTCACAGACTGACTTGCTGCAACTGTTTCGTTCTTGCACTGGTCGTTGTTGACTTTTGGCACCGGGGAAACAAATTGAATAAAAGGAACAGGACAAGTACATCTGCATCTCCTACCGTTTTTGGAAAAAAAAAAAAAGAGTTAGGAGGAGAGTGATGTGATATCCTGAAGGATAACAGAACTTTCAGTGCTTTAAAATAAAATGTTCATTTATTTGATTTTCAGTGTTTAAAGGCTCATTTCGAAGTCAGAGATTTTATTGTAATGCTTTTCTTCATTTTCATTGGAAATTAAAGCACATGTTTTCTCCATATCCCAAGATGTGTATTTTTCCCCCAATGAGGTGATGTTTTCAAAGCATGCCATCTATCTGCTCCTGTTCCGGCCCCTTTGTCAAATGTTAGAACTCAATGTGGCCCACGAATCAAAAAGTTTGCCCACCCCTGGCTAGGGAACATTCATAATGTCCCAGAGATGGGTAATCCGATTACTTTTTTCAAGTAACGAGTAAAGTAAGGGATTACTATTGCAAAAACGGTAATTAGATTACCGTTACTTTCCCGTAGGAACGCTGCGTTACTGCGTTACTAAAACCGTGATTTTTTTTGCGAGAATGTCTCACGACAGTGACGTAAGCGAGTGCGACGTTCGTGACAACAGCTGTGTGCAGATCAACAATGGATCATATATCGAGTGCGGGAGAGAGTATGAGCGTGCAGCGTTTAAAGCGTGGAAGTACTGACCTTACTTTGAGTTTGATTCCATAAAAAGTGACAAAAACATTAGTGTCCGTTGTGCGTGGGAAGAAAACTTCTTTTTACAGCGAAAAAAACCCCTAAACTTCCAAGCAAGCACCGAGTGCGCTATGACGTAATGGGAAATCACAGAGAAACTCGCGGATTCTTCCACTGACCGCTGCGGCACACCTGCACCAGGGTAAACCTCCGCCTACGCTACTCCTGCTTTACAGGTGAAAATAGAGCAAAGGACCGCTGAGTCTTTGACTTTATTTATTTTCTGCTGTGTTTTACTTGCATCTATTTGAAAGACTGAGTGTAAACACAAAAAAATTTTATTTTATGTGCTGGAATGTGCAGAAAATAGGTTTAAATGTTAAACAAATTTCTTCCAGTCAGAGAATGTTGCATATAATTAAATTTTTGCTTGATGCATAAAGTTAAAAGATTAAAACTAATAAAACAAGTTTTAAAAAGAGACTTTTCCATTTGATTACATTTTGTATGATGGATTATGCAGAAAAAGTAGAATTGGGCTGAAAGATCTATCGCTTTATCACCTATTCAGGTTGTAAATCGTGTTTTTAAAAAGTAACCAAGTAACTAAGTAATTAATTACTTTTGAAAATAAGTAATCAGTAAAGTAACGGGATTACTTTTGGGGGGAAGTAATCAGTAATTAGTTACTGATTACTTTTTTCAAGTAACTTGACCAACACTGGTCCCCACAAGATATAAATACCCGATATGCATGTATGTGTTTTTGAATTTCTAGCTTTAACATTGGGATTGTTTACTGTTAGAGATGCAGAGAAGTGAGTCAGTTTAAAGTTTTTCAGTCAGAGGGAAGTTGATTTCCTTCTCTCACATCAGAACAAATTATTCTGTGTGAGGAGAGAAAGCTTTCTAATTGAAGACCTTTTCAGTGTTACTTCACCGTGACTCATTGAATACCAAGCTCTTTTAAGACATAAAATGCATCTTTGATGAGGCTTTCTATGTTCTTTTGACCTTTCTTTAGAAAAAGAAAATATTCAAGTAATCCATGCAGAACCAAGATTATCAGTTGTTTTCTACCTATTAACGCAGATGGAGGGGTGAAAACGGGGGCGACTGCTGACAGAGCGAGCGTTCATAACACTGTTTTCTCTTCATGTGCTTCCAGGTGACTGAAACAAGAACCGGGCCGCTCGGATGCAGCAACTATGACAATCTGGACACAGTCAGCTCCGTGTTGGTTCACAGTCCTGAAAACAAGATTCAGCTGCAGGGTAAATTTTAACCTTAAGATTGATTTGGGAGCCAGTAGTTCATCTGCAGAGCACGTTCTGTTGGCTCAATAAAATTTGAGCGGGCTTTGGCTACATGTAGGTAAACTGTCTGAAGACTGAAAGAGGGTATTTGCTGAAATGCAATCACAAAACTAATTAACCTTTTATTAGCTCAGACAGAATACAAAGTATTTACCCGGTTATCTTGCATTCCAGTTGGAAAGAGCAGAGAAAAAATCAGCAGAATATCCAAGGGTTCCCCGACTGACTAACTCTAACCATGATAATGACCACCAAGTCCTCCAACTAAATAATCGTATTGGACATTTGTCCCTTCCATTTGATTGAATCATGTAACGACATGCAGGAATGTTTCCACTTAAAAGGACAAAGTCTAGATGAGCGGGCAGATCAAATGGGGGTAGCTTTTGTTAATCAGAAGACTGGAACTGAAGTATCACGTGGAAGTGCTTTAAATGTCACTTTTATTCAGTGTTTACTTCAGTTTTACTTGCTGTTTGGTTGGGTTTAAGCACCAAAACTACACTAAAAAACTGAAACACGCTCACTTTCACTGCTTGTGATGGACCGAGCAGTGAAGGAAAGTCAAGCACAGGTTAAAGTCCAAAAACAAGGTTTTTTTTAATTTATCCAAAAACAAACTTGGTTAAATTATACAGAAAAATCTATATCTTGGGCCCATAAAAGAGGTAAAAGTAACAGAACTCTACTTAAAAGCTGACAACAATACTACTAACTCAAACAAACTGAACTCCTTAAACAAGTCAAAGGGGAAACTTAAATCAGCCCACATAAACACAAAGGGGTAGAACACAAAAACCCCTAATTCCATTTCCCCCCCATGATCCAGAGTTGTGGTATGACCCAATTTGCAGGTCTCATACAGGCTTGCTCCGCCTCTTAGCTCATCAACCAAGGGAGTGGGAGCAGCTGCCACTGAGGTCACTCAGAAAACAAAGAGTAAATCATACACATAACAGTGTACACTACAACGTGCGCATTTATTTTAGAATACAGTATTATGCGATTGTACAAGTAAATTAATTCTAAACCAAAACCAATTCTTTATTACCCTCTAAATTAAATCCTGTATTTAAAGACATTAAAATGAAAGTGTAGTGTTATGCGTAAGTCTCTATTGTAACACTAATGTTTGGTAGACATTACCACTGTGTGGCTGTAACTGCAGCCATCGCACTGCTAAACACACGTTAGAAAGCTTCATTGATTCATGATCATTTGAATTTAAAGATGCTGATGCACATTTTGCAGACAGTTAAGAGCTGTCCACACAGAAAGCGATTCGCTTGTTGTGAATCACTTTATCACTGCTGACTGGTCACTAGTGGAAATTCTAGGCTTCACTCGCCTGGGTAGCCATCTAGGATTAGTCAGAGCCTTTGAGTTAGGGTGAAGTCAGAATTTGTGGTCATCATGTGATTCATCTAGACTTCAAACAGTTTGCAGAATAGTCATTTGTGATTAACCTTCATGTTTTCTTTTTTTTCAGAAAAATATAGTTAATTTGATCAGACTGATCTAAGACTCCATGTTTAAAAAAAAAAAAAAAAGGATTTCGGCACATAAAATAAGTTGTATTAGTCTGCATACAGTTTTGCATGTTTTATTCAACAATTGTACTTTTTTGGTGTGCCGGTCAAAAATGACCAATCGTTAGTAATGAGACAACGATTAGGTGCCAGTAGTGGAGGTTTTTACATATAGCCAAGCTTGTTATCGCCTCCCTAAGCTAAGCTAAATAGCTACAGTAGTTATTATTTCAATTATTTATTTATTTTATTTATAGCTACTAAATGTTCCTGAGAGATCCATGAAGCTTATTTCCCACACTGTGAAAATTGCTTTAATGCTTTAATGAAGGCTACATCAGCATATCCATCCGCTGTCTTCAGGTTATCCTAATCAGGGTAGCGGGAGAGCCTATCCTGTTCCAGGTGTACCCTGCCTCTTGCTCCGGGTATACATATGATGCAAGGCTGCATCAACATAACCATTAAAAAAAACATTCACATATTTGTTCATTCCAACTTCCTTCCTGCAATCTACAATAATCCACTGTTTAATACTAAAGATATAAATCGTTGAAAATACATAACTACTTTATTATTTTTTTATTATTTTTTTAATTGTTCCTTTCTAGTAGTAAGTAAGCGTCTGAAAAGGCTGAGTCAAACAGGCTAGAGGACTGCTTTAAATGGTGGATTAATACATATTTGTTTATCTTGGAAGTACAGCGCAGGATTATGTATGTAAGATTAATCATTTTTAGACAACAGTAAACTACAGCAACTAACAAGACGTGTTCAAATGTTTTCACTTTTGCTACACAGACTGCTTTTTCTATGAGGATGAATCAGCCGCTCTTTCACATGTTTAATAGTTTGTTAATTTTTTCCCTCGTGTGTCTCATCTGTGGTGCTCCGCAGGGCTGCAGGTCATCCTTCCAGGCTATTTGCTGAGCCGCTTCATTCAGGCAGCTCTCAACTACGTTGGCTGCAAATCTGAGGGCCAGTTTGTTTGCAAGAACAGTGACTGCTGGTGTGACTGCAGCGTGGACTTCCCACAGTGTAACTGTCCTCGCTCTGACCTGGCCACTCTGGAAAACAACCTGCTGCGCATCAGAGACGCCTGGAGGCTGACCTACAAGGAGTTTGAGGAATCTGGTGAGTCAGAAATTCCTTCAAAATGGGACTTGAAAATGTCAGCTTGAAAAGTGCTTTCACAAAAAATAGAAAAAGAAAACACACGAGTGGAACAGTGGCTTTTAAAATCCTCCTCAAACGTACGTGCTTTGGGACTAAGGTCATTTTTTTCCTCAAGAACAAAACACTTTAAAGTTTAGTCTTAAAACAAAAGTCTTGTTTTATGTTCAGAATGCTTTCTTAGCTGTCAAACTCTGACAGCTGCCAGACTTCAAATCAAGAGACCTGTCAGTCATTGTGTCAAATCAAATGACGGCTTTGATGCTCTCAAGTTGCTTAGGGCTGCTCTTAGGGATTTTTCTTTTAAATCCATCTGTTCTCATCAAAGTGCTGTGAACATAAAAACATGTACAGGAAATATCAAACATGATTTGTATTTTTTTTTTAGTCTAGGAATAGTCTCACAAGCGACCCTCTAAATCCACTACATGTTGTTTTAACGCAAAAAACAAGATATTATTTGACTGGTGACCTGCAGAGGTCCTTAAAACAGATACTAATACTTTTAGACAGAGCCAGGCTGATTGTTTCCTATTAAATTTACGTCATTGTACAATTTTCATAAATTTTATCTTTAAAATAATGCCAGTAATTCCCTTTGGGGAGACACTCATCTTGCGTCCATTTAGACACAATGGGAAAACAGCCTATAAAACTTGAAATCACTGAACTGCTTGATTCGCACAAACATTTTTCTCAGCTCTGTGCACAAAAAAACCCATAAAAAATTATCTACATAAACAAATGAACAAGCTATTGCACAAAACCTGGCCTCTGTCCAAGCACGTAATAATGTGCTATTGCTTTCTTTTTCAGACTGTAATTACCGTAAACACAAAACCATCGCAGAGGAAGTTAGCAGCTTTGACTGACACTTACCCTGCAGTTACACAGATATACGTCGGCACAAAATCAGCAGCGGCTTTAAAAACAGAGCCCACTGTATCACAGCACAAAACACCGCAGTGCTGTAGGTTAGTTTGAAGAAAGTTATAGCGCAGCTTTGTTGCCTGTGATGTCGACACTGAGTGCACTGGGTTTGTGTCTCTTTGTGTATTAGAGATTAGAAAGGGCGTATAAAGAGAATGGCAGAGAGGATGCACTGCGTCGTTTTTTTGTACTACTGAGAGGTGACACAGTTCATGATATAAGTTTCCTCCGGCATCAAAAAATGTCAAAGAAGTTTAATCAGGGGCACCGCTCGTTTCTCGTTAATGCGGCAAAATGTCTCCCTTTCATATTAATAATGTCAGAAACAGCAATTTCTCTAATAAGACTTGTTGCCTTAAAGGTATACAGTGACTTATTCTGACAACAGGTGTGGCATAGAATATGAAAATCATTTGTTCCCTCCTGAAAAAAAAGAGGCATAAAAGATCAAAACACGCCGCGCTTTGCAGCTGTTATTTCTCCTTTTTGGGTTGTTTGATTTTCAGGGACAAACAATGAGGAATGGATGCGTTTGTGTGTTTTTTTTGTTTTTTTGTTTTTTTTAAATATTGTCACCCTGCGGTTTATGGCCACAGGCAAAGTTTACTTATTCATGTTCTCCTTCCTACCAGAGGAGTTCCAAAGCTTCGTTGGGAACCTGCCAACCCATTTCGCTGTAAACACATCTGTCGTGGAGCACTTGTGGAGGATGGATGCCAACCTCCTACAGCGATACAGGCAGCTGGAGACCAGTAGCAACCAGCTTCTCACCAGAGCGCGCCGCACCGCTAACAAGCTCTTCAGCCTTAGCAAGAGGTGCCGAAAACAACCCAAAATGATCCAGCAGAGGCCCAGGTAAGAAGCAAGCAAGGAACATGAGGGAGGAGTATTCATGCTGCTGCCCGTTAAGCCAAGGTGCTCCCCAAAACTTATAATTGTGAAAATGATTTATGCACCAGGCAGTGAAAGAAAGCAGCAGAGCGAGACGGTACTTATTAGAAGGCACTTGAGGGAAAAGTAGTCGTGGAGTAAGGTGAAAAGTGCTGACAGGAGGGAAGCGGCTTCTCTGTTCCAGCCTCAGAAAGACGAACGGAATCCCAGCTGGCCAAACGGCCACGTTTCACTGTCGGCAGGTTCAAACTATATCACAATCAATCCAGCGTCTTTAAACCTCTCACGTCATCTCATTTCTTTTCTTTTTTTTTTATCAGAACCCGTGGACAGTAATATAGTTTACTTATATATAATTCCTATATTTTCTTTTTACTGTTACAGCTGCTGTATCAGCAGCACTGCCACTTGGACGGTCTATTCGAGCAGCCCTATCAGAGACCACGTTGGTCATAACTCCAGTCAGATTTATGCCTCTCCTATGAACACTCTGTGTTGATAGCTATTTCTGGCAGGGAAATTAACTAAATGACACGATCCATCAGTGTACTACTCAAACACAGACACTGTCTCCTCAGTCCACAATCCAATTACACTCTTTATCAGACTCCTTCTGCTCGTAAAAAAGAAATTCAATAGTAGTTTAGGATAACCGGGAAGATCATTTTTCTTGGTGTGTGTGTATGCGTCCTCTCATTCAATTTAATTACACTGTTTTCAAAAAGTTAGTAGCAGGATGCTGTTAAAATTTAAATAAAAACACAAGCATTGAAAATCATTAAAAACCTACATTTATCTGAAAATGGTACAAAGGTTTTGGAAAATAAATTTTTTTTTGTCATTGTTCAATTTGAAGCCAGGTAAACTGTGTCCCTGCTGCTGAAACAACACTTAATTGTTTCATTTCTTAATGCTCCAGAAGATCTCGCTTCAGCACACAGACAATTTTTATAGCAACATTAGGAATGGAGTTTGGTATTATCGTGCTAAAATCAGCAAGACAGTCCCTGGAAAAGACGGCTGCATATATTGCTCAGCAGTAACGGCAGTTTCACAGATGCGCAAGTCACCTGTGCCACGATCACCAGTGAACCTCTTCAACTTTTGAACTGTGGGCTCATTAAATGCCAGGTGGTAACTCTCCTTTGTAGAAGAAGGTCATATTTACTTTATAACATCACAAGATAGGAGGAAATCAACCCTTTTCTCTTTTTCACTCGTCTCTGTAGTTTTCCTAATAACTGCATTGATCCTATGCTCATATCGAGGCTGCTAGCTTGTGGCTGACTCAGAATTCAAGACAGCTTTAGCTTTATCCACTTTGCCTTTGTTTGCTTCTTTGAAATGTTCATGTTCAGCTGTGTGAAGGTCACCACCTCCTCATTGTGTCTTTACCTAATGACGCGTTAGCATGGCTATCTGCTTGCTGCTGTACATGTGTTGAGTGTGAAGGACTAGCCGGTTACCTGTTCAGGCTGAAATCGTCCGACTTCTGTCCTTGGTCCCTTGACCTTGTTAATATATGACTTTGAGTTATTACTTGCATACTCTCAACTGGTCATGGCCTCCCTGAGCCTGTTTCTCCTGCAGATGTCTTCAAGTTGAAAGGGAGTTTTTCCTTCCCGTTGTTGCCAGGTGCTTGCAAATAAGGAGTCATTTGATTATTGGGGTTTTCTCTCTATTATTGTAGAGTCTTTACCTTACATTGAGGTGCATTGAGGCGACTGCTGTTGTGATTTGGTGCTTTATAAATAAAATCGAATTGAATTTTGATGCAGTAATGAACTGTGTTCACTGAATCATCTTTAGAGCTTTTCCTCGCTTTTTTGATGCCGTGCCCCCCCAAAGACCTGAAGATCACAGCCTTTTATTATTGGATTTGTCACTTACTTGCAAAGATTTGTTCAGTTTCACAGAATCTTTTTTTAAGACATTATTGATTCTACATAATAAAATCTCCAAATTCATGCTGTGAGACACATAATGGGGCTCTTTGAAAAGCGTTCCTATGTGGCTATATTTCTAAAAGTAGTCTAAGCTTGAGATAGAAATAAGAGTAGTGGCATGGGTCTGCACCACAGAATGAGAATTCAGCAAATTACAATATTCATTTTGATCTGATTTTCTGTTATGACTCCAGCTGAGCCCGAGTTTGGCTCAAATTGTTTTTTGCCGCACATCAAAACAACACATTGTTTGTGCAAAGCTTGATTAATCTTCTTAGGCAAAACATTTTCTTTGTTGTATAATCACAAAAACATGAAAAAGATGCAAAGTGACAAAGACAAATGAGTTATTATATAATAACCAATACAGCAGTATCCCTGAAGCTGTACTGAAACACTTGTTGTCTCTCCTTTAGGCCTCTGCAGTTCTGGCTGAGCTACGCTCTCTCTGTCTTGTACTGCAGCGAGAACAATCAGGTTGGTGTTTACAGCGATGAGAGCCGCAGCTGCTCCTGCCCCTACAACCATCCACCTTGCCAGGGTCTGATCCCCTGCTCGGTGGGTGACGGTCCCCGCTGTGCCTCATGTTCCACAGAGAACCGAACTCGATGTTCCAGCTGTAACCCCGGCTTCACGCTGACCCAGGGAGTATGCCGGTCAGCCGTGCCTGACCCCACCGACCCCTATCTGGGTTTGGAGAGCGACAGAGATCTGCAGGATTTGGAGCTGCGCTACCTGCTCCAGCGGCGTGACCCGCGCATCGCCCTGCATGCTGTGTTTGTGAGCAACGACGTGCGTGTAAACACTTGGTTTGATCCCTCGTGGAGGAAAAGAATGCTGCTCACGCTCAAGAGCAACCGGGTCAAGTCCAACCGTGTTCATATGCTCCTCGGACTCACGCTACAATTTTGCCTCACCAGAAACAGCACTTTTGAGCCAGCACTGTCGCTGTTTGTGAATCCCTTTGGGGGCAGCCATTCGGAGAGTTGGACCATGCCGATAGGTCAGCACGGATACCCCGACTGGGAGCGGACCAAGCTGGATATCCCCTTGGACTGCTATAATTGGACGTTGACTCTGGGAAACAGATGGAAGAGCTTTTTTGAGACAGTTCATTTCTACCTGAGGAGTAATATCAGGGACCCTGTGGGAGTGACAGGAGGAAACAGGAACATGACACTGTACTATGAGTCTCTGGAGGAAGTGGAGCTTTCCAATAACATCGGCTACATGAAGGTGAACAGCATGCAGCTGTTCGGTTACAGCGTGCACTTTGACCCCGAGGCGATCCAGGACTTGATTCTGCAGATAGACTACCCGTACACTCAGGGATCGCAGGACTCGGCCCTGCTGCAGCTGGTGGAGCTGCGCTACAGGGTCAACCGCCTCTCGCCTCCGGGGGCCCCTCACGTGGATCTGTTCGCCTGCCTGCTCCGCCACAGACTCAAACTGTCCAGTGCCGATGTGACCAGGATACTCACTGCCCTGCAAACTTTCAGTGCCAGACAACCAAACTATATGGAGTACGAGGCAAATAAACTGTGTAGTTAGGCGCCTCCATTTGATGTTTTGTACTATTTCCTTGCCACAAAACAGGCCTGTATCCATTGTCAGCTGGATTGGTTTACATCAAGTGTGTGGTTTGTTGTCCAAGACTGTGCTGTACATACACAATGTGCAATTAAAATAAGTGTTTTTACCAAGATTTTGGTGTAGTTTTATGGATTTAAAGCACCTGAAAATTGCTTAAGAAAGGAGAAAATCAACAATACAGTCTTAATTATTTAGCACTGATAGTTTGACAGTCAAATACTGTGCTATCAAAACATTTACATTTGAGTCTCCTTTTGCACAAAATCAGAAATGTCCTCACAGTCTTCCTAGCTTGTTTTATAGTTTTCAGCTCAATCCCACTGGAGAGTGTGCGCTGTGTTGTTTTTGCCCATCTGGAGCCTCAGAACACAAGGTCTCCATTCAGGGAACAGCGTTAGCGCAGATTACTAAGTATATAGTGAAAGAAGGGGGAGGCTGGCAGTAGCCTTCCTCTGTTTCTCTGCTGTCCCCATATGCCATTCACAGTTACTGTGATAGATGAGCCAGGGTGCCGCAGAGACATGCCCAGCATCAAACAACAGTAAGCAAAGTGTCAGTGACAAGGATAGTACTCTCACCCTGCGCCAGAGCAAGTTGGACCCTCACAAGTGTGACTCTGGCCAAAAGGGAAATCAGCTTTAATCCCCCCGAGGGCTGTCGAGAGTGGAGCCGCAGGCTAGCAGCATGGAGCAGCTTTGATTAGACGAGCTTCTAAAGAGCTTGTAGCAAAGACGCAGCTTCATCAGGATTCACCAGACACGTTGCTCCCAAGATTAAAGCCAGACACAATTTGCTCCGATGCTGTCATTCAGAATGAATGTGAACGAGGTACCTGATGCAGTTTTGATTGTGAGATGAGGTGCTGAGCATACTACAGCTATCACCGCCCTACTGTCATTCACATTATGATGTATCATGCTGCAATTTTGTGGGAAATAAGCTTGTGTTTTTTTGTTTGTTTTTTTTGGTTGGTGGTTTTTCTTTTTCACTTTATGTGGCAAAGCTTAAAAATGTGCTCAAGGCGCTGGTTTCATTATTAGCTGTTGTTTTTTTGTTGTTGTTGTTTTTTGCATCCTCCATAGGGTTTCTTTGAGCTTAAACATTGATTTTGCAATGTTATTGGTCAATTTTTAGACACAGCTTTATTGTCTCCAGGCTGCCATTCTGTTACTGAGCGATCAGGCATCACAGGCTCTGGTATTGGCTACTTTGTGTTCATATTCAGCCTTTGAAAACGACCCTTTTACAACTCAGCCTTTTTCTTTGGGCTCTTGTTTTAGAGTTTAAAAGCTGTTTATGGTCTGGAGTTTGTTGTAGCAGTAATTTAATATGCCAAAGATGCACTGTGTGTTTTACCTGCCTGCAGGGAAAAGTGTGTGTGTGTGTGTGTGTGTGTGTGTGTGTGTGTGTGTGTGTGTGTGTGTGTG